AGGTAACATCCGAATTATTGTCGTCATTTTGATCATTTTCAAATAAAATTACGCCAGACATAGTTGCTCAATGAATGCATGCAAATTAAAAAAAAATCTTATTTAAGTTAGACGCGTAAAAACGCGTGAATAATCATTTGATAATCTAATTGAACTGGTCTTTAAGATCGCAGTCTGTCGATCTGATCTCAGTCCAGTCTACCCTCAAACTGGACCGAAACTGGTCCTATGATTAGGACCGGTCCGAACCGTCTAACGTTAGACCGTTAACATCTTTAGTGATCAACACGATCAACATTTTTGTAATTGAGAGCTTGTTACTTGTATGATTACGTGATTTTCTTAATTTTATTAATCTCGTATGCGATTTACTCTTCTATATTCTGTTACGACATCATTGTCTATTTTTAGGCAGTCGAAATTGAATAAAAGTATGTCTAATTGATCCCAGGAGAGAGCTCTGCTCATTGCTACATAGTTTTGACCTGAGGCGAACATGTTTTCGTATTGTTAACGTAGTGTGTGGTATTGTGATGCCTTGGTCTTATGTACTGTTAAAGCGAACACGTTTGTAATGGATATTGGTTTCTTGAGGCGTGTGTGCCATTTACTTGGTGGTTTTTTGGAGATTCATTTTACTTATGTTCACGTTCGTTAGGAAGGTAACTTCTATGTTATCTTTGTTTATTATTTTCGTTATAATTCCTATTGTTCCGTTGCAGATGCCATGTTCTATTAGTTTGTTGTTTAGATACATTACCCTTGCTCCTTCTTGGATTGTGATAGATTCTGGAAGATTTGCATAATGCTTGAAGGGTTGTTGGTTGTTTTGAATCTTAAAATTTAAGCTATCTATTACTTTTGAGGTTATTGGATCGCAACATTGGTCGTCGAATGGTAAGCTTCAACAAATTTTTATATTAATTTATTCCGCTGTTTCACAGAGTCTGACAAGTTTATAATAGCATTTTGATTTTTTGATGTTCTTATTTTTTCGTTAATCATTTTTTATGAATTTTCTGATAGAGTACCGAATCTTAATTCTTGAAGTTGATAATATTTTAGGTCATCTCTCTGTCGATGTGGTTTTGTTAGGAATAAGAGTAAGAAGGGTTTCCAGGCTTGTGAGAAGAAGACTTGTTCCCCATTTACGAGTGGCAATTGTGCGAGGTCTCCAATCACCAAAGTTAGGATGCCACCAAAGATTTTGTGATTTTTATGTAACATACTGAATGTGTTACTTAAAAATGAAAAGAGCTTGTCTGAT